GTTTGGAGTCCATAGGAGGTTGGCCTTACCCACCATAACCAGAACCAGTTAACCATACCAATTAATTTTTAGTAACGCGTCAGTGAATTAAGTATTCACGTAAATACTATACTTACCTGACTGCGTGCGTGTTTGATGACAACTGCAGTTTCAGTCACTTAATCAACATTGGTTGTGACAATGAACGCGCAAGACCGCACGCGCCGCCAACGCTTTCGGTGAATTGAATCTCAAACGAGATAACGAAAGCTCTCTAATGATATTTTTAATAAAACTGATTTCTTTTAATTTTAAATATATTTTCCCTGAATTCGTGATTATTCGTCGTCATGCGTAGACTAAATGCGTGACAAATTTAAGATCACGCATGTGTTTCTGCCAAATGCGTGTTACATCCAAAATCACTGTGAAATGCGGGACCGTTTTCACACAAAAAGGAAAATCCGCAAACAGATTGTCCGGTGAACAAGTAGATCCACCAAGCCAGGATGTTACAACCTTGCGTTGTGTATTATCGCTCTCCTCTCATACTCGGTGAAGCTTCACACACTTCTTCAGGGGAAAAGACAGGGGAAGAGCCATGAGAGATATGACAATGCATTTCTCTATCTCTGAGAAAGTCATCCCTAACCGTCATTTCTCTGGGTAAGGGTATACAGCACGAACACTATACAACAGCGTTGGAAGTTTGAACACAAAGCAACATGCAGTTTTCTTCTGCTTTTGACGAAACGCCTAAAAGCTGTGTTTAGGCATATCCTAATGTGCTTAATATAATAGGCCTATATTGACACGTTCAGAATTAATTTGAACTTTATGATATCAAATACTTTTGGACGGTATCGCATATCCTACAAGTATAAAGTCAATTTATTCTTATTTTTATAAGCATATCAGGGGCGGATCCAGGATTTGAAAGAGGGGGATGGATTCATTTTCCCATAAACCCAAAAATGAAAGGGTGTTCGGTCTTCCCGGGAAAATTTTAATTCCCAGATGGCCGGAAATCAACATTATTGAGTAGTTGGATACGTAGTATTTCTTCCATAGATCGATGGACTGATAGGCCTGAAGAACACACTTTCGTACATAAATTATTACGACGTCGAGCCGAAACTGTTTTTAATTATATTTAATTGAATGATACCGTAGTTGTTCTAAGCCTATTTTGTCCGATCTGCCAACCTATGCCTAGGTAGGTTACTTGAAATAATTGAAATAGGCCTACGTGATTTGAAACACGGGCCGGCGGACAGCAGAGCCCCGCCAGGGTCCAGGGTCGGGGCGCCGGTTGGGCTCTGGGGGAGGGGGAGATATTCCCTGGGCGTTCTGACGACCTTAGCATTTTAAAGCTGTTTTTTTAGGGAGTGTTTATTGACAATATCAGGTACATAAACAAATATATTTTTAGTAAAGCCACGTACAATTCGAGTTTTATTGTATGTTTAATTTGAGCACCCGAACCCGAAAATAGGCTGCGGTGGTGAAGTTTTCCTAACATTCGACACTCTTTTTACCCCTCCTGTTATTACTCCTACACGCCTGATTCTTAATTAATTTGTTTAAAGGGCCAATATTTATTTTGAGTTGGGCTCACGGGCCAAAAGATAATATCTGAGTACCGATAATTAAGTAAGTCATTATGTGTTTGGTAATTTCAAATTCTACTTTTTGTTACAATACGGTATATGGTAACAAATTATGTAACTTTAAGCAAAGAATACGTACACAATTATCAATATTCTGTTCACATCCTAGTTGGTTAAAACAATAAGAAATTGCATTCGGTGTATAATAAACGTTAGTAACATAAACATTAAAAATATATATAATACACATACTT